AGAAAATGAATGAGGGGACACACCACACTTTCCTTCCAAGAGATTTTGGAAGAAAGCTTCAACCTCTTTCCCGCGTTCCCCACCCTTCTTGCTCTACTCTGAAACTCTTCATATTCTCAGTACCTCCAGATCCCACCTTCCAACTTTGGTTATGCAAATATGGGATTTTTTTTTTTTTTTTTTTTTGCTTTTAGGTCGAATAACCAGATAGATTAGAAATATTGACTATGTTTTACTCTGAGCATGTTGCTCCATCCCAAGGAACGCTCGCTTTCAGCACTTCTGCGTTTTGATTTTGTGTCAAGACTTTGTTTGCCGTATTTCACACACACACACACGTGTGTGTGTGTGTGTGTGTGTAAGACTGTGTGTGTATTTGAAGCTCACGTGATAACCCGCGAATTAATGGAAATTATTTGCTTTCAGAAGTTAATCACTTTGACGACAATAAAGCTAACCGAACAAAAATCGCATTTCCCCTCTTCTTCGAAGCACATATATAATTAAATCCGATAAGCATACTCCTAAATCATTCTCCTAGTTACGATAAATTAATAATTAAAATGGAATATACTATCAAAAATAGTGAAATATACTGTATCTCCACAATACGATCATACTTCATACCATCCCAATCATTTAAAGGCCCCTTCCTCCAAAAATGAAGAAAAACACTTCATTGACTTAGAAGTCATGAAAAAAGACTTCAGTTTTTCTCACTCCGAACAAAAACTACGTTCACTTCGTGGGCTAGAAAATGCTTAGTTTTTCTGCAAGGGACAAAAATCTCCGAAATAAAGTCATTCTGTGTTTGGATTCAATCACATTACGACACAAAAATCTTCATGTCCTATTAGATGAGCTGTGTGGAGCATCCATTTCTTATTCAAGTCAGACACACTATTCCAAATTTCTGATGTTGATATTCTTCAATAAATACTCAATGAACCTTGTGCGGTATCTTTCAACTTTAGCCAAACTTCTCAGCAAGACTCATACCCTCAAGAGATTCCAAATCCTTTTACAAAATCCCAAGATTCTAACACATTCTATGCTCCCTATAGAGAGAAGAGAGAAATAGCTCAAACAGAAGAGCAGAATCACAACATGAAGGACATGGAGTTAGAAAAAGAAGACCTTTCTGTGGAGAAGGTGTTCTTTGTGGTGAGCTTTGTGCTAAGTGTACTGTTCTGTTCCATAGTGATGAAACTGAACCTCACCACTGGGATTATACCTTCACCTAACGTTTCTGCCGGGCTATTGGGTTTCTTTTTTGTGAACACTTGGACTAAGTTCTTGAGTAAGTCAGGCATGTTAAGGCAGCCATTTACAAGGCAGGAGAATACTGTTTTCGAGACCTGTATTGTTGCCTCCTCTGGCATAGCCTTCAGTAGTAATATCTCCTTTCACAACATATCCTAGTCCCTAATATAATTTATCTCTATTGTTGATGACTAACTCTTCATCTCTCAAGCTAGGATCCAGACTGGAAGTTATAATGAGAAGGTTTTGGAGTATTTATTATCATATTCTACAAAGAAAACATAGCAAGTGAATATTGTTGACAGTTCCAGCATCATATGATTGAGTTTGTTCAAAACTTATTTTATATATTCTTTGATATGCCAATATATGATATAGAAAGCCTATTACAGGCGGCTTTTGGAGTTACCTCTTTGGAATGAGGGAACGGGTAGCCCAGCTATCTTCAAACAAAACTGATTTCAAGGACCCAGCAATAGGATGGATACTTGGATTTCTCTTTATTGTTGGCTTTCTTGGCCTCTTCTCGGTTGTGCCTCTAAGGAAGGTGTGATGCAAAATTGCTCTTTCTTTTTTTATCAACTCATCAATAATTATACTTTAATTAAAATAAGAAACCTGCATATTCTCTATCTCTTTATAGTTACTTCAGCAGCATAATGCTTCATGTCTTTACCACTTTAGTTTTTTTTTTTTTTTAATTCATATTTTGTTGTATGTTGCAGATTATGATCACTGACTTTAAATTGACATATCCAAGTGGGACTGCAACTGCACATCTAATCAACGGCTTCCATACTGCTCAAGAAGCCACACTAGCAAAGTAAGGCACTGCCAAAAAAAAAATTACAAAATCAAATGTTGGGCAGAAGTTACTGATCCTAACTAATTGAATTGTTCTTCCAGGAAGCAAGTGAAAGTGTCGGGAAAATTCATCACTTTCAATTCATATGGGGTTTCTTTCAGTAGTCCTACACTGCTTCTGATGATTATGGATTCCGAGCCTTCCCTTCAATGGGGCTGAAAGCATACAAGTACGCCATCACATCTCCTTCCTTTCTAATGACACACTTATTTAATTGGGGAAAAGTAAATTTTAGAGCAGCATCATCTTCAACTATTAGGTGAGTTCATTTCAGCCTTTAGTTATTTGCAGGTTCTGCTTTGATTTTTCTACAATCTACATTGGAGTGGGAATGATTTGTCCACGTATCATCAATATATCACTCCTGCTTCGAGGAATTCTTTCTTGGGCGATTGGTCCCCTCCAGGCCTTGACGAAAACAACATGCAAGATCTTGAAGGTTACAAGGTAAGTCTCTTGGTTTAAAGCATCTTATTGGTCTGTATTCCTCTTGATAAGCATCTTAATTTTGGCTCATTATTAGATCCTAGAAGATGACAGAAACCTATGGATAAAGTCTGGGCTTCACCTAGCCAACAGTATCTGAAATTGTATCTTCTAAACTAAGAGATCGTCTGAAGTTTCAATTTAGTGATTTGAGTTACCCAAGTTTTATATGGATGGTCTACGTTGTTAATGCTTTGTTATTTATGTTGATATGTATATATAAGGGAAGCAAAAATAAATCTGATAAAAACACTTCTCATTGTAAACTTAAAAAGAACTGTAAATTGTCTAAATTAAATCTAGGTAGCTCAAATTGCTCAATTGAACAAATTACAAAATCCCTCATCTAAGAGGCTCCAAGTGCAAATCTATAACTGAGCAGCCTAAGCCCTGAACAGCTCTTGCCGCTATGTTTACTAACTATCTATTGATCTTGAATTCAGATATTCATAGCCATAGCCATGATCCTGGGAGATGGTTTGTATAACTTCTTCAAGACGCTAGGCCATACCATCACTGGATTGTATCAACAAATCAGGGACAAATGACGGGAAAATGTTCTTCCTGTTGTAGATCAGAACTCTCCTTCAGGTCCTCGGCAATCCTTCGATTTCTGGCACCACACCCAACTCTTTCTCAAAGATCAGATCCCCACATCGTTTACAGTTGCAGGCTATGTTCCAATTCCCATTGTCTCAGTGATTACTCTTCCACACATCTTTCTCCAGCTAAAAGGGTACTACATGTTGGTTATCTACATTCTAGCTCCACCCTTAGCATTCTGTAATGCTAATGGTTGTGGCTGACAGATTGGTCACTTACATCCACTTATGGAAAGCTTGCCATATTCACAAATGGAGCATGGGCTGGAGCATCACATGGTGGGATTCTTGCTGGCCCGGTAGCCTGCAGAGTGATGATGAATATCGTCTCCACAGCCTCTGACCTCACACAAGATTTCAAGATAGGCTACCTTACCCTAGCTTCACTACGCTCCATGTTTGTGAGCCAAATAATTGGCACTGCAATGGGATGTGTGATTTCTCCTTGTGTCTTTTGGGTTTTCTACAGAGCTCTTGATGACCTTGGGACTCCTAAAAGTGGATACCCTGCTCCATATGCTATTTTGTACAAGAACATGGCCATCCTTGGGCTGGAGGGCTTTCATCTCTACCAAAGAACTACCTCCTGCTGTGTTATGTCTTCCTTGGCTCTGCCATTTTGATAAATTTTATTAAAGACCTGATGGGTGCGAGAGGGAGGTTCATACCATTTCTGATGGAAATAGCTATACCTTTCTATTTAGGGCCATATTTTGCCATTGACGTGTGTAGGAAGTCTGATATTGTTCATTTGGCAGAAGGTAAACAAGGCCAAAGTAGATACTTTTGCGCCAGCAGTTGCTTCTGGTTTGATATGTGGGGATGGAATATGGACTCTACCTGCTTCAATACTTGCTCTTCTGGGATTAAGCGAACAATTTGCATGAAGTTCTTGTCCAGAGCTACAAATAAAAGGGGCGGTGGGTTTTTAGGTTCTTGAGGCAAAGTTTGGCTTGGTATCAATATCTTATGCCTTACTGTCTGTCATTCTGTTGGACAGCACCTTTTTTAGTTATGAACTTTAAAGTTAAAGATGTGCCAGGCACCAATATAGGTGAAGCAACTAAAATATGAAGAATGAAAAAAAAGTGGTATGTTATAAAGCAGATATATCATGGAAAAAAAAAAAAAAAGTATATGTACACAAGTTTAGATTGCACTATGTAATTTGAGGTTTCTAGAAGATCTCGATTTCAAATATGCTTTCTCTAAACTCCGTATAAATTTCACTGTATATGATATTATTGCTGCTTATTAGCATTTACTTATCTTCTTCCACAAAGACAAAACTGACAATCACCAACTTCAGTAATTTCCTAGTCAACATGTTTCGAACAAACGTCTAAATGTAAGAGAAGAAAAACAATACAACTAGAGTGGGGTAGGCACGTGATCTCAATCATTGTCAACAAAAATTAATTGTCGCAAGAAATCGAGATGAAATATCCATTAAATATATGTCCTCTATTCTTAAAAAAAGGTAATTTTAGGGAAAGCATTAAATCCTCCATAATTCTTCTTCTAATATCCATGGAAGGCCTCAACCAATATGTAGTGGCTCTCTCACTTTTTAATAGATTGCCCACGTAACACTCAAAGAAGATAAGCTTGTCCATTGAATCCCAGTATGAAAAAGAAGAAAACGTTAAAAGAATTTCATTCTATCTCCTACTCACGGTGGGGTGTGTGTGTGTGTGTATTTCTCATTTATAAGCCAGAGTGGGGCGTGTTCAGCAAAGCCGTTACTGTTCAACCATTTTAACGAGGGAAATGACATCACGCTCTCAATGAGTCCAATCTTCATCGCTTCCGTCAGTTTCCTAGATAAAACAAATATAAATGCAATGGAAAATATCAGGTTAGGAGTGTCTATTACTGCTGTAAACTATCAACTGTGAAAAAAAGGGTTTAGTGGCCGCTAGGGTGAATGCCTATGAAAGCCAGCATGCGAAATCTCATCAATAACTACCTTTGAAGTACTCGAAAATTCTTCAATGTCATCATCATTTTCAGCCTACATTGTAATGTACGAGTACGGCGTTAGATTCCTGACTCCAATAACCATCGCTAATAAGTTGGCTTTTTCCATTGGCAAAAACGAAGTCAGTTATTTCCTTGGCATTTTACACAACGTTATTTTATACTTAAAGATTCGCTTAATATTGACATTAAAATAGTTGAAATTCATAAAATATGCAAGAGATGTGAACCGTCCTAACATTTCTCCTTACAGCTACGTTGCATTTGATATCCATGTTAGTATTCTTAAAGTTTACCTCTTGCTCCACTTTCCTAAACAACGTGGATATGGTAGACTGAACAAGTGAAGCGCGATTACGAAACAAGACTTCTTCAGATGGAGCCATCAAAGAACATTCAAGCAGTTTCTTGCACTTAGATCCCGAAGCATACTTTCTATTCTTCCGAAGGTCTCGAGTTCCTCTCAAAGCGTTATCATGACCAAGATCAACTGCAAGAGCATATGGATTTTCTTTCTGTGTCTATGAATTAAGGTTAATAACGTAGAGTTGCACCAAAAACACAATGTAAAGTCAGTGTGTTTCTGATAATACATGTAAATTGGTGAGCAAAGACCTCAAGGCTTAAAATAAAGTCCAAAAGAAAAAGTTGCTGAAATTCTCTAACAAATCAATTATAAGGATATTTAAACTACTACGATCATTCACAGCAGTCTTAGCTTCCACCTCTTTTTTGAGCACAGAAACATCAGGACTATCCAAACCAGAAGAAATTTCCGCAAATCTAAAACAGCAAAACAAATAAGTATGCATTTCCGTCTCAGATGACAAATTTCAACTTAAGCCAGCCAGGTCAGTTTTAAAAACTTAGTGTAATTTAATTAGACATAATGCCTTAAGACAACCGGGAATATAAATTTCTTATGAATTCATGGCTGGAAATCAGATCTAAGTGATGAAAAGGCTAATACTTGTATGTTTTTCCAGAAGGTCTGTCTGAGTGATGAACTGGAACCACCTCCTTCGCATCTTCCAAGATGTCTTCACTCTTCGACATATAATTTTCAGGTGTCTCTGGGTGCTCCTTTGCATGCTGCATCTTATTTTTGGCAGCACGTTGAGTGGCTGCGGATGCGGAACCAGCTCCACCTGCAAACTCATAGTCAGCTTGTTGTCCCTGGAAAAAAAGTCAAGAATCAGCTTAAAAGACTTTACTCTCATTATTCCTCATTCCGTATAAGAGGAAGTAAAAGCTGCTTCTCATATAGCCGTACGCAACTGTCATTGATCAACAACGTTTACCTCATACATTTCCTTTGGAAAATCAAGTCTAGTTTCTTCAGGGTTTTCATCTTTCCTCCCAATCCACCATGCATCTGAAAATAGAATCTGGGAAATCTAGATATTGTGAATAACAAACACGGGTTTGGTTGGCGGGAAGAAGTTGAATGGAATGATAGCCCATTACTGTTAGTTTAGGAACAATAACAAGCCACAAGAGGATGAGCGTAAGAAAAATGCAGAATTGTCAAAGGGAAGAAAAATGCAGAGTTGTCAAACCCATAAAGATTGCAACTGCGATACAATTAAGGAAAATACCCCCCCCCCGGCGATTTGCAGGCGAAAGATATCAGCTCAGATTCTCAAAACACATATCCTGATTATTACATGCACAAACATCTGCCGAGGCCTGAGAGGCGCGTTGGGAAGGGATAAATGCAAATTACAGAGAATGCAATCTTACTGTTTCACCTGATCGCTGCAAGCATAATTCATGCCTGCATCAGCAGATTTACAATTTTTGTCGATGTTGAATCCAAATCAGAATGCCGAGCTTGTTTGTTAACTTCCGTAATCCACTTCGTAGCTCTCAGAGTTAAAATTGAAACGGAGAGAGCAGTTCGGAAGAGAAAAGTGTATAGTCAAGAAGGGAAGTAAACCAACCATAGTATCAAAATAATCCTCGCACAGTGCATTCCTTCCATCTCTGGAGAACTGCAAAGTTAGATATCCGTTCTTTGGATATAAGATTGTTCCAAATAACTTCATTTGGCCCTGAAAAAATGGAAGTAAATATGAATCAGATCAGTTGATCTACTGTAGAAAATCAAATTTTCACACTTCTCAAATTTATAGAGTGCTCAAGATAGTCCAAAATAAAAAATAATGAAAGAAATATATATTTCCTCTTTTACACTCTGGTTTCTATCCACCAAACCAAACAAGCATATAGGAACATGCACTAATAAATCAGCGGCCATCTTTAAAATGCTCTTAAAAATGACCAAGTAAGCGTATTCACGCTGTAAACTTGCAACCACAAATAGTGATTCGAATTGAAGGCTGAGAAAATTTGCAGTCCAATGTCCACGTTACGACTTCCGCTCTCATACCCGTAGGAACCAAAAACACAGCAAATGCATCAATTGAAACTACAAAATGCGTTGAAGGAAAGCGTTGAAAAACCTGAGGGAAATCGACGTAGAGAACGGGGTTTTTTGTTCCTAAATTCTTGAGATCACCGATCTTGCCGCCGCGGCCGATGGGAGCAATGTGACCTGGAAATGAGAAGAGGTACTTGTTCCTTCGCTGGGATTTCTTCACAATGTCTTTGCCGAGGTGCTTAAGCACTGTGTTTGAAGGATTGAGACGACGAGAGGCTTTGGCTGGGATCTCAGAAATTACTCCATTAGAGAAGGCCAATCTTTTGAGCCTCTGGCGCTCTGCAGCTTCTGGATTTAGCTCCTTACGCGCTTCATTCTTCTTCTTCCAACGCCGGATTGCCATTCTTGTTTCCTGATTCTGTAGAACAAGTCTCTGGTCCCAGGATCAGGAAAAGCACTCACGCTCGGCTCTTCCGCTGAGTGGCGGGAAACAACTTTTTTTCGGGGAGGAAGAAAACTAGAATAAGTTTTTATTCTTAATTTTCCTATCAAATTTTGTTAATGTTTAATTATTTATATGTAATTCTAAAACTTATTTTGTAACGTAATTTATATTATAAATTCAGCCTTATATTTATATTTATATTTAAGGCTAAAAGGGTATAATTTACGAATACAAATTTAAAGTTGCTCTGCTGTAAATTAAGCAGGTGCGTGCAAATTTCACGTCAATACTTCCTTTTCCCCCCCCTTTGGATTTGGAGAACCATACCTCATATACTTTATTTTAGATAACGAATATCTATCCAGCAACCTTTAAACAGAAAGAAACAAACTTTGACTGTCAGTTGTCAATAAGCTAGTGGCACTAAATAATGAGTCAGGGACTCTTTTCGTTTACTGAAAAATGGAAAACCATTTTCACAAAATACTGATTTTTTTAAAAGACGTACAATGAAAGGATCTCAACAATTTCAATCTGTAATGTTCTTCCAAAATAAAAAATAAAAATTCTACGCTTGAAAAAAATTGCAAACCTCCTTGCATTGGAAGGGGGTTTTTATACACGAAACTTTCATAAATAAAAATATTCTGTTATTTTCTTTGTAAAGTATCGTCTAAACTTTGTAATGTTACAAAAAGACTTTTAAAACTATTATTAGATTGTACATGTATTTAGGAAAAGGTATAAAAAAAAGGCTACATACCTATCGATATAAAATATATAATATAAAATAAATTTTATAAAAAATATTACCTATACAAGAACTTTATTATTCACAAGTCAATTTTTCCCGACCATTATATGGTTATAATATTTCAACCTTTTCATGTACACGTATGGATAGGATTTCGATTTAAATATTAAAATGCCAAATGTAATACATTTTAAAAAAAATTTTAATTCTCTCTCTCTCTATTATATTGTACCACAAGAAACCTAATTTCACAATATAAATATTCATTTCATGCTTAAAATTATTAAAAGTAAGAAAAGCGAAAAAATAAACAAATATAATTCTGTTACTCGCATCTTCATTAAAGAATAATAAAAATAATGCCCTATCAAATGTTTAGTCAACTAATAACATCACAGAACAATACATACTGTGTCTAACCCAGGTGAAAAAAAAAACTTTTAAATTCTCTTTTTCTCTCTATAGATCAAACCATTCATTTTTAAAAAAAAAATATAAATCAAACTTTTCAAAATTATCAACTTAGTTTTTGAATTAAAAAAATTAAATTAATATTATTGTTGCATCACAAAACTTATCATAAATTCATAGTGCTTAATATTTTATTCATTTAAGACAAAATTAAGATTTTCTGACGTTTTGAATAGTTTGAATTTTTCATGTTGTTCATTAAAAAATTTTGCAGGGTTCTTATTTACATTCACAATAAAAGAAGAAAAAGAAATAACTATTTATAATTATGACGTCTATTTTTAGCTTTTTCTTTCTGTTTTTTTTTAAAAAAGGCAAACGGTATTTAACTACTAAGAATCTAGGGAAAATCCCAGAAAAAGCCCTTAGAATATACTAAATCTCAGACTGGGTTCTTAAATTTCGAAAATGACAGAAATTCAGGGGAATTGACATTTTTGCCCCTGAACAAAAGTGAGTAGTTATTCTCTAAACAAATCTAGGTAACGCTTACACTGTTCTAGTGATTACAAGATTCGTTGTAGTTAATAATAAGGTACCTGACAATAATAAGATACCTGACTATGAAAAAATGAGTAGTTATTCTCTACACAAATCTAGGTAATGCTTATATTGTTCTAGTGATTACAGAATTAGTTGTAGTTAATAACAAGACTTCTGACTATGAAAAAGTGAGTAGTTATTCACTACATGAATCTAGGTAACACCTAAACTCTTATAGTGATTCCTTGAATCATTGTAGTGAATGAATAAATGAGGGTAAAATTGTCAATTCACCTGAATTTCACAAATGACAGATTGGGTCAATGAACCATTCTGTCATTTTTAAAATTTAAAGATCCAATCTGACATTTTTCATATTGGACCTTGTTTGGGATTTTCCCAAGAATCTCCTCTATAGTCTACACAGTTACAAAACTGGCAAATCAAATAATTGCATGGTAGTCTCATGTAATCCCCTTAGCCCCGTACAGCTTCAACTCCATATCGATCTTCGCCTTGATTTTTCCGTTCTTCTCATCCAGAGTCCACACTATCTTCCATGGTTGCTGAATCAGAAGTTCACAAAATTTCCCCAATGCAGCGTTTCTGGGAACCCCAATTAACGGAAAAGCGACACTGAAGCTGATCGCTACTAGTGCTGCTTTAGGGTTTTGGTTCTGGGATGAGAGCTCATGGCTGTTGCTAGTGCTGCACTGATCGCTCCCTCTTTATATTGCATTTCTCGATTCAATTATAATGTCAAATGCCAAGAAGATCATAAGGTCTTCCTTTCGGACTTCCCTGCAGAATATGGCTCTGGGTTTTGTGGTTCGATTCTTTGTATAGGGTCACAAGCGAAGAGGACTGATATTGTGACTGGGAAGAGGAGATTGAATGCAGTTGATACCCGCATTGTCGAAAATGCTCAGACGAAATCCACGATTGAAATCCCAATTACCTGCTACCAGGTGATTAAACTCTTTCTGACAATTGTTTTTATGATTCTGTTTTCTTTATGGACCCGTTTTCTTAAAAATTTACGTGGTTGGTTCAGTCATATTTTGTGTCCTAACTATTCAGTAATTCTTCTTGTCTTCATTCTTAACTTATTGCGAACAGAAGACATTTAGGTGTTTGGGAATCCGTTGGATTTGGTCACAACGTGGTTTTGTCTAAAATTATGAGTAGTTTTTGTCTTGTAAATCGCAAAACCATGTTTTCGACTCAGCACCTCTGGAGTTTTGATTTCATGGTAATTAAATACTATGCGACGTTCTCATATTAGGATGGTATTCCCCTTCCAATGACATGTTCACGTGCATGGAATCTTGGTCTTAGAAAATTGGTTCCCGATCTTATTAGACACAGGATCTACCAAGATATCTTCGATGAGTAAGAGAATGTGAGATAGAATATACTCACTGGCATCTCTTAACTTTTCATCTTGTTCCTATAGCCGCTTTTCATATTAGATTTTGCATGGGATGATTGTGGATTGGGTGCAGGGGATGAATGGTTTCAGTAGCTGTGCTGAGTTGTATGATTTCAAGTTTAAATTTGGACTTTAAAGTAAAGCATTTGTAAAATATCCAAATGTCCACCTTTTAATACCCCATCCATGCCAACTCTCTTCCTCTTCAGATGTTTATTATGCTACTTGCTTCATATTATGTTGCAGCTAATTGGAGTTCCTGATAAAGCTGAGAAAGATGAAATTGTTAAGTCAGTCATGGCTTTGAAAAAGGCAGATATTGAAGAAGGTTACACCATGGATGTTGTTGTATCTCGCCAGGTAGATAAATAATGTCAATTATATTTTTTGATATTTCCCCCCTTTCTTTTGCACTTTTTGGTCTTAAACAGATGCACACAGTTATCTGTGTTGTTTTTCTTCTTACGATATTATAATTGATTTGTAGGATCTTCTAATGGATGTTAGGGATAAGCTTCTTTTTGAACCAGAATATGCTGGCAGTCTAAAAGAAAAGATTCCCCCAAAAGCTTCACTACGTATTCCTTGGTCTTGGTTTCCTGGTGCTCTTTGCCTTCTTCAACAGGTAGACATGACATATGTTCCAGTTACTCCAGATCTTAAATATGTCTCGTGTGCAATAGTTTTTCTATCTGAAGATTTTTGACTGCTAGTTTTCTGTTATTTTGATACAGGTTGGAGAATCACAGCTTGTGCTTGACATTGGACGTTTAGGTCTCCAACATCAAGATGCCAAGCCATATGTACATGATTTGCTTCTTTCTATGGCTCTAGCTGAGGTAATCAATGTCAACAGGGAGGTCGGAAACTTAATCTGGAATTTTATAGAAGCATTCTCGTGCACACTTCCTAATGATAGATGCTTTTTTGAAGTGTGCGATTGCAAAGATTGGCTTTGAGAAGAACAAAGTGTCTCAAGGTTTTGAAGCTCTTGCTCGTGCTCAATGTCTTCTAAGAAGTAGACCATCTTTAGCGAAAATGACATTGCTATCACAGGTAAGACACATCTTCTTTACATTAAATTTATTGCTTAATTCCCTTAGGTGTTGATTTGTTGTTCTACATGAAGCTTATATTACAAGACAAAGATTTGACTTTAACCACCATGCCCAAGAAAAGATGAAGAAGAAAACAATCGTTGATTCTTTTGATGTGATTGCAAGACATCATCATGCTCTTTGGAACATTCATTTACGTCTAGGATAATTTCCTTAGCAGAGAAAATGTTTATTTACACTCTGTGGTTAGGTAATTTTTGCTAGCAATTATTCAACAAGAAAGTCTGGTTCCTGATGCTTTGGCCATCCTCCATGAATCCCTGATATTATTATAAATTTATCATTTTGGTGTGCTTCTCTAATTTGTGTGTTCCTATGTTACTGTTAATTATCTCTGCCATCATATTTTTGTCAATCTTCCTCGCTATCCTCTTTGCTTGCTTATGTTTTTTTGGCTGTTATTGCAGGAGCATTTGCAATGTTTACTGCACATATTGAAACAATTTAAGAGACAACGATACCATTTTATTCATATTTTTCTTAGGCCGTTGTATTCATACTATTCACACCTGCTTCTATAATTATGTGAACACCAATGTAATGTTTATTAATTTTATCCAAGTTAATATATTTTCGTCGCAGAATCTTCTTTTTCAGTGTTAAATGGATCTCCTATTTCTTGTCAACATTATGGGTTTAGAAAAAACAGCTAGATCATGAATAATAATGTGTTTGGGGCTGCTTGGTGTCTTGTTCAGACGAAAGTGTGGTTTGAATAACTATCTCCGTAAGAGATTTCACAGCCAGAAATATGAAGTTGCTATCAATGTTAATCCCCATAATGAATTAAACGGTGGAAAGTTACAAATTATCGAATAATTATTACTTAATTTCCTCATCCTAGAAGATTTAATATAACATTAAATTATTTAGTTATCTTAATTGTTAATTGTCAAATAAAATACATCTGAGCCATTAATTATTTAGATGTTTATACTTGATATCAATATACAAATTTAATTCATTTTATATATGATTTTGAGCATAAAATCAATACAAATCTATGACTAATTACCATGAACGTTTAATCACATTAGCTCTCATTGCTATTAAAGGTCTCTGTTGTCTTTACTTGTAAATTATTCTGTGCTTAATCTCTAGATTGAACAATCTCTTGAGGAGCTCGCACCTGCTTGCACATTGGAACTATTGAGCATGCCACAAACCCCTGAATATGCTGATCGCAGACAAGGAGCAATTGCAGCTTTGCGTGAGTTGCTGAGACAGGGTCTTGATGTTGAAACTTCATGTCAAGTTGAGGATTGGCCTTCATTCCTAAACCAAGCCTTCAGCAGGTTGCTGGCTGCTGAGATGGTTGATCTTCTTCCCTGGGATAACTTAGCTGCAACAAGGAAGAATAAGAAGACAATTGAATCACAGAACCAGAGGGTGGTTATCGATTCAAATTGTTTCTATAGGGCTTTTATAGCTCATGTGGCACTTGGATTTCCAAGAAAGCAAAAGGATTTGGTAATACGATTTTCTGAAGCTTCATGATTATTTGGATATCTTTCTCTTCCCCATGTAGTCTACCATAGCATGAATACATTTAATACTAATCTCCAGGGTAAACTACCATTTACCTCTTGTAGCTTGGCCCAAAATCAGCATGCTCTCTATTAATGTGTCATTTAACGCCTTATGATTTGTTCAATTGCCACTTAACCGCCCTGTAATATTTTCAATTTTTAACAAAAATAAACATGATTGTACCCGTTGTACTACTTCATTGTTAAATGTCCTCTTCACTCGTATCTAGAACATGTCTAGTGTGTTGGGGCTATTGCTGGGATTCAGTGGACAAATTTATTTTCAAGATATCATCTTAATACAGTATTTTAATGAAGTGAAGCATACTTTAAAAAATAAACTGCAATTTTTCACCATTCATGTGATCATATCTTCAAACGTTAATATTGAAATTCCATGGTGGTTAAGTGTTAGAAATTAAAGGGATTCGAATGAAGCACTTTACACTTTAGGGGAACAAATTGATTTAATCCCAAGCTGTATGGGATAAAATAATCACCCCCTTTCTACTATTTATGTCATATCATATCTGATTATTTTGCATTTTTTTTACCCTCCCTGTTGCTCCTAGTTTTGGTGTAAATTAATTATTTAAAATATTTTCACGCAGATTAATAAGGCAAAAAATATATGTGAATGTTTGGTAGCTTCAGATGGCGTTGATTTGAAATTTGAAGAAGCTTTTTGCCTCTTCCTCCTTGGTCAGGTATGTCATTTGTTAGTCTTGCCGTGGAAGAGGAGTTGGATAAGTCTGGCTTTTAGTGGTTTCAGTTCCGTTACTTTCTGGAGTTTGCTGTTATTTTTATTGTCTGGTTGCTTTCATTTGTGGTTGCTGTATTGAAAAATTCCATTGAAATATAATCTTGTTTCTGTTGGCAAGAGTAAAGGTGTATTGTGTCATTTTAATTCTGATGATAAGCAGCCTTTTTCTTTGTCATTAAACACTTTGAATCTTGCTTTTAGCGAAGATGAAATTAATCTTTAATTTCACATTCTCCCTGAAATATCTACATAAGTTTAATGAAGTTCTTTTAATCTCTAGGGCACAGAAGCTGAGGCAGTTAAACAACTGAAGCAGCTTGAGCTGAACTCAAGTTCTAGTAACTCAGTCTCAGGGAAGGCTATAGTGGATGTATCTGCTAGTAATCTATCATTGGTATCTTTCTCTCCCTCTGTGCGTGTGTGTGTGGCCTCCATTGGTATTTCTCTTTATGTTATCATTGTTGTTTCCCTGCAGCACATGTACTGGAAATCCTTTAGATGGATAACTGAGGTCTAGCCTCAATTGAGAATATATTTGATGACGTATGCAGTCCATATGTTTGATGCATGAAACTTCTAATCATTGTTGACTTATACAATGTTCAATTGCTTTTCTTTCACTATGGAAGATGTAACAGTGAGCTATGTGCTTCGAGAGCTTTATTACATTCCTTACCTTTAAGTTAGTGATGACCTTTTTTTTTTAATTTCTTATTTCTAATCTGACACTACCCACTGAATTTGAGCAGGAAATGTGGCTGAAGGATTCTGTGCTTGCTTCATTTCCAGATACCCAAGACTGTTCTTCATCACTGGTGAGATCATTTATAGCAGGCAAAAGAAAAATTAGTTGCTTTAGTTCTGACAAAACACTCCTCATGGATGGTGGACATCTCTGCAGGTCAATTTCTTTAATGCTGAAAAGAAAACCACTGGAAGCAAGAGAAGTAGAGGAGGTCCAGAGACCTTGTCTACAATAGGTCGTAGACCTCTCTCGGCCTCTGTAGCTTTAGAACGGAGAGACTTTGAAGAGCCTCGCTCATATATGAACTCTTCTCATCTAGGGTTTGCTGTCAAGCAGCTGACTCCTACTGATTTGCAGAGTTCACTGCTGTCTGGCAAGAAGGACAATGGGAGCAACCTTAGTGAGTCACCTGCTCAGTTGAAAAGGAGCCTTGGCAGTCATCGCAATGGATTTTGGGATAGTTACTCTAGTCATGCACACATATTTGGAAGAATAACATATATTACAGTTCTAGGTTGCGTTGTATTTGCTTCCTTCAAGTTATTAGGAGTGAACTCAAGCAAAGAAAAAGCTGGTTCTCATTGGGCTTCTGCTAGAGCCAACGGTAACATTGTGTTGACAGCAGATTCTTCTGTGGACCACAATGTAGGATCCGCTTATATAAAGGGAAGTAAATTTACCGACGGACTGAAGAGACTTCTGGCAATGATAAAGTTTATGCATCAGTCAGATGTTGGAAATGGACGTGGCTCATGGCCAGCTTCTACATCACCTTCCTCCCTTATTAATAAGAGGCCAATGCCTATGGAAGAAGCAGAAGTTCTAATTAAGCAATGGCAAACTGTCAAAGCTGAAGCTTTGGGACCTCACCACCAAGTTCATAGTCTAGCTCAAGTTCTTGATGAGTCAATGCTTGCTCAGGTAATTCATGTTGTGCTTTGACTGCCAAGTTAATTGATGCTGCCTTACGTATTCAGCATCACTGAATGCGTCATTACCCCTCCATATTATGAATAATTTAGCTGTTACATGTTTTTGGTATCCATTATCCATCCAATTTCTTATTTGTTAGTAATGGATAACATACCTCGTGTAAAATGCTTGGAACTACGTCAAATTTCTTTGTTTCATTGAGGGCTGAGATACAGATGAATGAAAAGGGCGAAGAAAGTTGAGTATCCATACTAATTTTGGCTAGCTTTGACAGTGGCAAGCTTTGGCTGACACAGCAAGAGAAAAGTCTTGTTATTGGAGGATTATTTTGCTCAAAGTGTCTGTCCTGCGAGCTGACATTTTAGCAGATGGGAATGGAGAAGAAATGGCAACAATAGAAAGCCTCTTAGAAGAAGCAGCTGAGCTTGTTGATGCTTCTCAGCAAGATAATCCTAACTACTATAGGTAAAATGAAATAGCACGATACTCAGATATTAATTAATCTTGTATACCTTGTCCATGGCTGGACGGATGTGTCTTTCTATGTCTCGAATTTCTGTGCCTCTATTGGATTTTGCCCTTTTTGTTTATTATCATCCTTGTTTTTCTTGATTGCAGCACCTACCTAGTTAAGTACGTGCTGAAGAGACAAGATGATGGAAGATGGAAATTCTGCGAAGGCACTATAGAAGTACCCTAATATCAAGGTCTATTCCTATGACACGCCAGATAGTTAATGTTTCTGCTAACATGGCTCTTTTCCAAATTCTCACTTCTAGAGCCTTCAACAAAAGTTTGAAGCTGATCCAAGCATAGGCAGATTATAATATCTTTACTTTTTTCACTGTACATCATGTAGAAAACTGATTTACCTTGTCCTTTTCCCCCTTGGTGCTTCCTGATTACTTGTAAAGGCCTGATTGATTGATGTATGCATAGGTTTAACAAGCAATTTTCTCCTCATTTTTTCTAGTGTTAACAAAAGTAATTCTGCAACCAAGTTGTTGGATTATTAGTTTTGTGCCTCCACTATTCGCCATGCTGTCTAGTTTTAAATGATTTTTATCTTTAATATTTTGATGCCAGGCAATAGTTAAGATGTTAAACGTTAGTATGATTCTAAGCAAAATAATTGAGAACGTGTGAAATATGTTTTAATATTTTCCGAATCCTTTTCACTTCAACGAATCAATTACCCCTGCTATGCCTGAGGATATTAATCCTCAGTAGACTCGAGGAAAAGATTTTTAGTGAGTTCAATTTTGAAAAAAAAAGGAGGACAAATAAGGCGGTAAAATTTTAATAGAAAGAATATGTAAAAAGGAAAACAAATCAATCAAACTTTTCAATCTCAATTTTTTTTTTTCAATTCGTTTTTTTAATCATTTCTTTCGACAAACCAAATAAATCATAAAATTTATTAAAAATTAAATATTAAGTAAACATTAATTTGGTAATTTCACAAAAAAGTAAAAGTATTACAAGTCAATACTCACAACCATAACTATTAAGAACATAAATAACTACTTATTTAGTTCTCATGGAATTTATCTTAGAATTTGTTACCCGAGCTCCTACATTTCACGCAGCAACAAACTTCACACAGGTCTTTACCATTTCATGTACCACACTACACTGCAATCGTCCGGAAGCTAAAACAACACATGGAACTTCAAGAAAACTTTATTCTATTCTTCTCAAAATACTGAGATGGTTCTGATCTGAGCAAGTACTAGTACAGACCCTAGCAAGACAAGTACTACTAAATTTAAGTGCGTAGAACGATTTCATAAACATTGCGAAACACCTAACTTTAAAAGCCACCACGGAGACGCAAAACAAGGTGAAGGGTAGACTCCTTTTGAATATTGTAATCAGCCAGAGTCCTTCCGTCCTCCAGTTGCTTTCCTGCAAATATCAACCTCTGCTGATCCGGCGGGATTCCTTCTTTGTCCTGAATCTTGGACTTCACATTATCAATGGTGTCTGAACTCTCAACTTCCAATGTAATCGTTTTCCCAGTAAGAGTCTTCACAAAGATTTGCATTCCACCACGGAGTCGCAGCACAAGGTGAAGAGTAGACTCTTTCTGAATATTATAATCCGCCAAAGTCCTTCCATCCTCCAACTGTTTCCCAGCAAATATCAACCTTTGCTGATCAGGTGGGATTCCCTCTTTGTCTTGAATTTTAGTCTTAACATTGTCAATAGTGTCTGAACTCTCGACTTCCAATGTGATAGTTTTACCAGTGAGGGTCTTTACAAAGATTTGCATCCCACCACGGAGTCGCAGCACCAGGTGAAGCGTGGACTCCTTCTGTATGTTATAGTCAGCAAGGGTACGGCCATCTTCAAGCTGCTTACCAGCAAAAATAAGCCTTTGTTGGTCCGGAGGAATGCCTTCCTTGTCCTGAATCTTTGCCTTAACATTGTCAATAGTGTCAGAACTCTCAACCTCAAGGGTAATAGTTTTTCCCGTGAGGGTCTTCACAAATATCTGCATTCCACCACGGAGTCGCAACACTAGGTGGAGTGTGGACTCCTTCTGAATGTTATAGTCAGCAAGGGTTCGGCCATCTTCAAGCTGCTTGCCAGCAAAAATGAGTCTTTGTTGGTCCGGAGGAATGCCCTCTTTGTCCTGGATCTTTGTCTTCACATTATCTATGGTATCGGAACTCTCAACCTCAAGGGTGATGGTCTTGCCTGTGAGGGTTTTGACAAAAATCTGCATTCCCCCACGAAGCCGAAGAACAAGGTGAAGTGTAGACTCCTTCTGGATATTATAGTCTGCCAAAGTTCGGCCATCCTCAAGCTGCTTTCCAGCAAATATGAGACGCTGCTGGTCTGGTGGGATGCCTTCTTTGTCCTGGATCTTTGTCTTCACATTATCTATGGTATCGGAACTTTCAACCTCAAGGGTGATGGTCTTACCGGTAAGGGTTTTCACAAAGATCTGCATCTGACGTCAATTTAAGCAATCAATAAACATGATGATCCCAATGGACAAAGAGAAACTTCCCAAAATTCTCAGAATTTTCTACTTGCAAAAATAAATAAATAAAAAACAAAGGAATTTCCTTTGCGCCATGAGATTCCGATCCAATGTCAGTTAAGATTTGAGACGTCAATAAACAATCGAATTCAACAAAAATATTAATTTTAGCATAAGTTGTTGCGTGAAAACTCAACAATTCTACTGTAGGAAAAGAAGAACTGCCATCATGATCGTGATCGCAAGTCGGTAACCCAAAAACTTCAATCAAAGAACACAAATCCAAACACTAAAGGCAATTGAATCTCCGCGCGTATTCGTAGCAACGAAACCCAATAACTCACATCAAGATTGAATAATTCCAAACAGATTAAAATCTAAAAAATCATGAAACGCGATAAAACTCAGAAGCCCTAAATCGATCAAGGGGGCTTCGTTCAAACCCTAGCCATAAAACAACAAACCCAACAACTCAAACGAGAGAAACAAAAGGAATTCAGAGAACACAAGAAACATATCATCTACGTAGTTCCGCAACCGAGAAATCAAGAAATTACAAAGTAATGGGAAAATAACAACACATATCAATCAAATCAAAGATCTTAAACATAACCGGCAAGAACCATAGGGTTGAAGACAAACCTTAAGAGATTGTGGATGATCCTGATTGCTTCCGGAAATTGATTGAATGGAGATGTGATGAAGAAAGCGTTTCGTGTAGCTCTATTTATAAAGATAAAATACGGAGCCTCATCACCGCAGAACCATCGCGCGACGCACGAAGACACGTAAGAGGGTACGCGTGTGGAAAGCCCTAGAATAATCCAGCACGCATTATGCTGGTCAAAAAAAATATGCAGCACGTACTGTACTCTGCCTTAGCCCTGAGGTTTTGTTTTTGGGCTGTACAGTACGGCCCATGTTGGTATGTTGAAATATACCCATTTAGCGTATAAAATAAATTCAAAATTAAATTGGAATTAAAATTTAAATCGTATCTTATAATAAAACATATCTTAGATGGATTTCAAATAGTTAATATCATATGAACATATGATTTTTATATTACATATAATATAGAGAAAATCAGTCATTTGATTCTTTAACTTTTAACTTGACTGCAACTTAATTTCTTAGAGTTAGCTGATATTTAAAATAAATACTGTTAAAAATAAATTGATATTAGATATAAACTGTATGGTTTTAATTAATCTGAAAGATGTAAATTTGGCTCCCCAAAACTCGTTCTGAGAGAAAGTCAGCAAACTTTTTTTTTTTTAATTTCAAAAGTGTGAGACCTTATTTTATTTCAAAGAAAGATAATGAAAACGTTGGGCAAAAAAGCAAATAAATATAATAAAACATATTAATATATTTAGGTCAAAATAAAAAGAAATATGTACAAATAAAAATGGAGACGAGAATATAATAAAAATAAATACTAAAAAAAGAAGAGAAGAAAATGGGGTTTGGTAATTGGTATGTTAATGAATATAAACAAAATTTTTGCATGGCTTTGATAGATTACAAAAAGGCGTGGAAATAAGTTAGAACAATAAAACTAAACTAATCCATCTGCTTTAATTTTTTCCCCCCCAAAAACAGATATAATTTGATGAGAGAATATTGTCCTTCTCAAATTTCATTTATAAACAAAATCTTCTAATTAAGATTGAAGATAGTAGTTTTTTTAGGAATTCAATGATCTAATATCACTGAAGTATTAATAATATAAATAGCATACATGCTTAATTGTATTGATATACATAAGCTCATCAAACATAATTAAAATGTGATCAAGCTAGATGCTTTATATATAATTTTGAGGTAAATTATTTTATTGATGATTTTATTCATGAGAAGTGAATGTTTCTAGAGAAGAATTATCATGCCTGATTACAGGAGAGACGTCCAAATGAAATATTTCACTAATTATCAAACTTTATTCCATGAGTATTTCAATCTACTTTGCTTCATAAAAGTTATCTTCTCTACAAAAATAAATGTTATTCCTCCGGCCTTAAATATAAAACGTATTTAACTAATTTGATTATATTAAGAAAGTTAGATAAAAGTTAGTTAATTATAAAAAATATAACATATTTTTTTTAAAATCCCACGATCATCTTCCTTGATATCCTCTCTCCCTCTTCTATTTGGTCATGGTTAATGGAGTATCTATAGTGATAATTTAGGAAAAATTAATAAATATAATAAATATGTCTTATATGTAGAACCAAAATCAACTCTATATTAGGTCCTATATTAAGGACTGGAGGAGTATTATAATTATAATCTTGAGTGCTGAAAGACTACTTTTAAAAAGTTGCTACATGTTATTTTTCTCTGAAAAATCTAATTTTTTTAATCTTTCTCTAAAAAAAAACTAATTTCATGTATTTAAAATAGTAATTATTTTTACTCCAAACAAGAAGCTGTTTCACTAACCTTCTTCTTCAATCTTTCTGCCAGTTAGCAATTTCGGGTGTGTTTGGATTGACATTAGGCAAAACTGACTTCTAATTCAACTAACTTTTGTAGTTGAAATTGAAGTAAAAATCAGTTAGTGTAATACGATTTATGTTTAGATAGATATTTATAAAAAAATTAGTTGAAAAAATTAAAAGTTATTTAGATTATTAATAGAAAAGCTAGTTTAGTTGTAAAATGATTGAAAATGACATAGACTTTATTAAATAGTAGTGTTTAAATTTTTATGTTTTTAATGTGATAATACTTTAAAAAAATACGTAAAATTATTATGATAAAATATAAATAGTTTATTTGTGAAATTATAAAATAAAAATATTTATTATGAAGAAAAATTTGAAAACACATTGTAGATAATTAATTAAATACATATAATGGACAAATATGAATATAAATTAAAATTCATTTGGTCTCTAATTAAAGTAAATGAAATCACATAACTAATTAGATCGTATACTTTGTATAATTTTTTCATAAGTTAGTTAGAAAAGTTAATTCAGATTACGTTTTTATAAGTCATTTAGAAAAGTTACTTTCTTCTATAACTTAGTTAGAAAAAAAAGCTCTATTCAAATAATTTTCTGAGCCACGCCAAAAAAGTCAGTTACACACTTTATCGTATACTTTTTTCATCTTCAACGCTGATCCAAACGTAGCCTTCATGTTTGTTTTTGTTTGTTTGCACTATTTTTAATGCTTTTGAAATTTTGGGTCCTTTGATGTCATTTGCCCTTATTCCTTTGAGCACCTTTTCCTTCAAAATTTTCATTCTGCGAAAGCCGCGTGCCCTAAAATAAAAAGCTCGTCAAGAAAATGAAAAATATGGAGTCTTGAAGGACGAGCTTGTGTTGTAAACTTGTAACAGCTAGCGAACGTTGGAGCGGCGAATCACGCCCCAGGGGACGATGGGTCGCAAGGACGTAGTCAAGTTAATCGGCTCCGTTTTGTCGCGCAAAACCTCTCCATTGCCACTATTTTCTCGCTCTCACATCCGCCATTATACGGCGGCTGCGCCACCTCCTCCAGCCGTCTTCGCTGATAAAAACACGCGCGTCATTTGTCAAGGCATCACCGGTAAAAATGGAACTTTCCACACCGAACAAGCCATTGAATACGGAACCAAGATGGTACCTTACTTCCTCTGCGGTGTTTATGTAAATTCTACGCTATGTTCGTTTCAATATTCTTGTGACGTATGGTTGCACGTTGCCTGTGTCTGGTGGGCTATACAGGCCTTTCTTCTAGTGGAGTTTATTTATGTTTAGAAAATAATTTTTTGTTGGTTATGTCTGCTGATCACAGTGCTGAATTCCGAGACTTTCGGAATTTCTAATGGGAATTGAATTGTCATGCATTTGATTTCATTGGGCTTCAGTAATGTTTCCATTATACTTATCCACTTATGTTTTGTTTGCTCGAGTAAACGCAAGGCCTTGCTGAATCTGATTGTAATTGCAGCCAACTGTTTCAGAACTTTCTAAAAAGTTTAGTGGCCTGTCCTTGGCTGAATACGTATTTATATCACGACTCAAATAGGAAGCCTGTATGCAACAAGGGTTCTGGGCATGAAAACCTGAGCGTTCAAGTGCCTTCCCGGGTGTGGAAATTTAGGACCTCTTTTGGGTTCCTAGTAGCCATGCTGTCACTGAAAATAGTGACTTATTTGGGGTTTTATAAGTATGAATTGTTCTTAACGGATGGGCGAACTTGTTGAAAATAGATGTATGTATTCTACTACTTTAATTAGATTCTTTACTTTGTTCTTGTTGCACTCGCAGCTTTGGGCACAAACGGATTCAGAAGTTGATTTGGTGTGAATAATGTATCTAATGTCCGCATGTGTCTGCTTGTGTGTCTCATTGTTTTTGGTTGCCGAATAAGCAGCCATCTCTCATTCCACTGACGCAATGTTGCTCAAACAGGTGGGTGGTGTAACTCCAAAGAAAGGCGGAACAGAACACTTAGGACTTCCTGTGTTTAACACTGTTGCTGAAGCAAAAGCTGAAACTAAGGCCAATGCCTCAGTCATCTATGTTCCTCCACCATTTGCTGCAGCTGCCATTATGGAGGCAATGGAAGCCGAGTTGGATCTTGTTGTCTGCATTACTGAAGGAATTCCTCAACATGATATGGTAATTTCATTTTTATGACGGACAATTATGTTTCAGGCTTGAGTTTCTTATATGGCATTGAGAATTATTATTTCTGCATTGACCTGCAAACTTTATTTGGTGCTTATTTAAACCAAACCACGTATTTGGAGTATTAATTGTTAGATAATTTCTTTTCTTACATCTTTCTAGTGATTCTCATTAATTATGATTATATATATAACTAATGCATAAGTATGGCCTTACAATGTTTCCATTTGGATGATTCGGGTTGGGTGTGTATATTTTTGTGTACTAGGCTGTCTGTTTATGTGAGATTAGATGGCCACTGCATAACTGTGGTGAGATTATTTCTATTTATTGAACTGATCTATACAGCAATCTAATGTATTGCGTAACAATGGCTTTTTATTCGGACTTGGGTAGTAGTGCACGGTAGTTTATCCTTTGTGTCTTTTATGTGAATGGCACTTGATCTCAGAGAAAGGTATGTTTATATGTATGGCACTGAACTAAATATCTTGTAATTTCAGGTACGAGTGAAAGCTGCTCTTAACAAGCAATCCAAAACTCGATTGATAGGACCAAACTGTCCTGGTATAATTAAGCCTGGGGAGTGTAAAATTGGAATTATGCCTGGTTATATTCATAAACCTGGAAGGGTTGGAATTGTTTCTCGCTCTGGTACCTTGACATATGAAGCGGTGAGCCCTCATTTTGATTACGTGACTCAGGAGAACTCATTAACGGAGCTGGTCTTTTCATTGCTGCACTATAAAGATTGATGTTGTAGTACCTTATGAGACTGATTTTTGTATGTTTGTTTTAATAGATTTTCCTTTTAAGGGACAATGCGAATCAGTTATATCCAAAGCAGAAGATTTAAGCACATTTTATAGTAGTCAATTCTATATTATGGAGGCCCAAAAAAAGTTCTGTATTCTTAACATCTAGAACTGGCTTGGATCTTCCTACTGCAGAGTTGAAACACAACAATTCGCATGTTAGGCTTCATTGGATTATTTTATTTGCTGAATATTGCACACCTGAAATAGAAGCATCAACCATCATACAACCTCTTCCAAAACCAGGAATGCTTGTTTGTCGTCATATGATAGGCTTATTCCCTAGAGTTTTTTTATCAACCGTACCTTTAAAATTTTTCCCCGTTTACAGAGATGCCATTTTCCGTATATAATAGGATAAATTATCGACGACGTATTTGTTTCCAAATATTCAGGTTTTCCAAACAACTGCCGTTGGCCTTGGACAATCTACTTGTGTGGGTATAGGGGGAGATCCCTTCAATGGAACAAACTTCGTAGACTGCATTGAGAAGTTCCTAGCAGATCCTCAGACAGAAGGTAATTTGTCGCATGTTGCTGCCTGATAAATTGAACATTAGTATGAAAAAAGTCCATTTTATAGGATCTGGGTGTTATATGCATTAAAGTGGTCTGTTATCCCTTAAGTGTTTTAAGTTCTTTATATGTTTTATTGCCCGGAGAAACAGAATTTTGATAATGCATGCACTTGTAGAGCCTGGGTTGAGACAGTTTCTCTCTCCAGATTATGCATTTGTTATAAAAATTTGTGTAGTTTTTCTCAAATGGAGGAACAGTTTGATCCTTCAAGGTGACTGAGCGAATAAATGTTAATTTGAATATTGAAGTGCAGTTTGAGTGTATAGTAAACATTTGATCCACTTGGATAGTATGTTTTATTTAACTATATGTAAATACCTGGTTTTTGTATTTTAGGACGTGTTGAGTTATAGCTATTTTTATACAAAAGAAGAGATTAACACTAGATTGGAGTTATGGAGAAGGACTTTGGAGTTGAAAGGTTTTTGCTTGAGCAGGAACAAAACGGAATGTATGCATTGTGATTTTGGGGGGAGGTAAGGCAATGGGGATTTGGAGGTGAAGATGGGGGATCAAATCATTCCTCAAGTACCAAAGTTTAAATACCTAGGATCCATTATACAGGAGGATGGGGAAATTGATGGAGACGTTTCTCATACTGTTGGCTATTCAGTCTCTATTGGGCCTTGGGCCATGCAGATGTGTGCAAATCTGTGTGATTCTTTCTTTTAAATTTCTGTTTATTAGAGAGATCATGATTCCTTTCCTGATATATCTTAGGATTTGATTTAGACTCCTAGAATCTCGGCCTGATCCTAGTATCTTGCCTAATCCCTAAAATCCCGGCCTAATCTCCTCATTCATTGAGGGAATTGTATCTATTTAAGTCTGCCATTCTATTCGAATAAAGTACAACTTCAGAATCATTAGATTCTTCATGGTATCAGAGCAGAGATGATCCGGTTTGGAATGGGCTTCAACAATGATGGCCAAAACAACCCTAGGGTTTCCGTAAACAGCCAATCAGGGCCAATGGCAACAGCGACTGGTTCTACCAGCCACCAGAATTCGATCGGATTGATGGCAACAGCAATTGGTTCTACCAGCCACCAAAACCTGATCGAGTCAAGCCCTACATCTATCACAATTCATCGGCTCAACGGTGAAAATTATATGCAATGGTCATCTAGTGTTCGGTTATATATTATGGGCAAAGGCAAATATGGATACTTGATTGGTTCTGTCCAGAAACCAGCCGAAGGTGATGAAAAGTATCCTACTTGGGAAGCTGAAAATTCCATGGTGCAAGCTTGGCTGATAAACTCCATGACAACTGAAATCAGTGCTCACTTCACATTTTTCCAGACTGCAAAAGAGGTCTGGGACGCTGCAAGGGACATGTTCGCTGCACTGAAGAACAAAGCTGCCATTCTAGAAATAGAAAGATTTCTTCATGATTTCAAAAAGGGAAGTCTTTCTATAACCCAGTACTACACTGACCTAGTCATTCAATGGCAACAGCTGGACATGTATGAATCTTATGATTGGAAGTGTACTGGAGATGCAGCTCTCTATGCAAAGATAAAAGAAGAGAAAAGGGTCTTTAAGTTCCTACTCGGATTGGATGACAGCTTTGAAGAAGTCCGAGGAAGAATAATGGGACTCAGCACATTGCCACCTCTAAGGGAAGTATTCTTCACTGTTAGGAATGAAGAAAGCAGAAAAAGACTTACTTCCACCGAATTGAGGAATGAACCAAGTCAACCGAATGCCCTTATGTCAAAAGGGGGTCCCCAAGATGACTCCAGAAAACAGAGCAAATGGTGCGACCATTGCAGAAAAAGAGGCCACACTAGAGAGGTGTGTTGGAAACTACATGGGAAACCTTTGAAAAAAGGGAGACAGGATGGCCGAGGCTTTGTTGGAACAACTGATAACAAGAAAGAACCAGAATTCAGCAAAGAAGAACTGAATCTACTCAGAAAATTCCTGGAAAAACATGATGCCCAGGAAACAACCCTTGCTGCAGGTTATGTTGCCCACACAGGTAAAACCATATTAGCACTAAAAGCTGACATACATCATTCAAGACTCTGGATTGTGGATTCAGGTGCAACAGATCATATGACTGGGAACAAAGAACTTTTGACCGAAATAAGACCATGTCCCATAAATATCTATGTTAAAGTGGCTGATGGTAAAGCCTTAAAGGTTGAGGGCCTTGGAATCGCATATATAACCCCAGAAATAATTCTGCATAATGTCTTTTATACCCCTGGATTGAAATGCAGTCTACTTTCTGTAATTACTATTACTCAAAATCAGAATTATGATGTTCATTTCACTGCTACTCAATGTGTTTTTCAGGATCTGAAGCGAGGGAAGATGATTGGCACAGCTAAGATCCTAGAAGACCTCTACTGTTTGGAAGTTCAAGAGAATCAACACAAAGGAAATATCATCAAGTCTGTGACACATTCCTCTGTTTTTTCTGCTACTTCAGAAAATAAAGATGCTTTGTTATGGCATTATAGACTAGGGCATCCTCATTTTCATTATTTGTCCAAGTTATTTCCTCAATTTTCAAACAAGAATGATTTATCTTTCATGTGTGAAGTCTGTCAGCTCTCAAAACAAACCAAAGCAACTTATAAACCTCACTCACATCAATGCACAAAGCCTTTTAATCTTATTCACAGTGACATATGGGGGCCATCTCGCCTACCTTCTCTCACTCATGCTAAATGGTTTGTTACATTCATTGATGATCACACACGACTTACCTGGGTATTCCTAATGAAAGAAAAATCTGACCTACCTGCTACTTTCATCAAATTTCACAAAATGATCCTAACTCAGTTTCAAACCCAAATTCTTACCCTGAGAAGTGATAATGGACGAGAGTACATGTGCCAAACCCTACAAAAATACCTTCAGGAACATGGGATTATTCATCAAACTAGCTGTGTTGACACCCCACAACAGAATGGGACTGCTGAACGCAAGAACCGTCACTTATTAGAGGTTACCAGATCTCTTATGTTTACACATAATGTCCCTAAACAGTATTGGGGAGAAGCTCTCCTTACTGCCGTTCACTTGATCAACCGACTCCCATCCAAAACCCTTGATTTCCAAACGCCAGTAAACCTTCTCACCAAAACCTATCCCTCTAACTCCCTTACCCGTGACCTTCCCCTGCGAGTTTTTGGATGTGTAGCATATATTTATCACAACCATGGCAGTAAACTTGACCCAAGAGCCCTAAAGTGCATCTTTTTAGGCTATTCTTCTACCCAACAAGGGTATAAATGCTACTCTCCATCCCTACGTAAGTTCTTTGTCACTATGGATGTTCAATTTGATGAGACCCAAGCCTACTATCCAAAATCTCCCATTCAGGGGGAGAATTTCAGAGAATGGGAGCTTTTACACCCACAACACACCCAACCTACCATACCTACCAGTGCTGCCACACTAGAAACAAACACTTCCACACCAGAACCAGAAGTTTCTACACCTGACACACCCATAACAGAACCTGGAATGCCCCTAACAGCACCTCCTACACCTGTACCTGATCCTCAACAGCATTCTGTACCTCCAGAAACAGACTTTAACACTAGTTCTGATCCACCTGAAACCAACCTGAATACACTTAACCCTAGCATGATGCCTAACAATGCAGTACAGGACAGTGATGATGACCAAACAGATGCAGATTCTGATAAGGAGCATGAGGCAAACAGTAGAGGTTCTTCGGGTTCTGGGCAAAGCCAAGAATCAACCCAACCTGAGGATCTTGGATGGCCCATTGCACTTAGAAAAGGGGTAAGGAAGTGTACTCAACACCCTATCAGCCATTTTGTATCCTATGATAAGCTATCACCATGCATGAGGACTTTTGTTACTAGCATTGACAGGGACCAAATTCCCAGAACTTTTGATGAAGCTGCCAAGGATCCTAAGTGGAAGGCAGCTATAGATGAGGAGCTGCAAGCACTTGATAAAAATCAGACTTGGAAGATTGTCAGCCTCCCACATGGAAAGAAGGCAGTGGGGTGCAAATGGGTCTTCACTATTAAATATAATCCAGATGGGTCTATAAGCAAGTTTAAAGCTCGACTAGTGGCTAAAGGTTTTTCTCAAACAGAAGGGATTGATTATCAAGAAACATTTGCACCAGTGGCGAAACTAAACACTATAAGGATACTGTTGTCCTTAGCAGCCAACCTTGATTGGCCCCTTCACCAACTTGATGTTAAGAATGCTTTTCTAAATGGGGATCTCGAGGAAGAAGTGTATATGAGAATTCCTGAGGGACTAGCAGAACATGGAAATCTGAAAGCTGCATGCAGACTGTATAAATCCCTTTATGGTCTCAAACAGTCTCCAAGGGCATGGTTCGAAAAATTCACGAAGGTAGTGAAGAAATCTGGTTATATGCAGTGCCAATCAGATCATACATTATTTGTCCGACATTCAGAAAGAAAGGTGTCTATCCTAATTGTGTACGTAGATGACATTGTTATAACCGGAAATGACAGCAACGAAATAGCAAGATTAAAGAAGATTTTGGCAGCAGAATTTGAGGTGAAAGACTTGGGGAGTCTAAGGTATTTTCTTGGAATGGAGATTGCCAGATCAAACAAAGGGATCTCAATGTCACAAAGAAAGTACACGCTAGACCTACTTAAAGAAACTGGCATGTTGGGAGCTAAACCATCATCAACACCTATGGATCCCTCGGTCAACCTCGAATACAAAACAGATGGTGTACCAGTTGATGCAGAAAGGTACAAACGATTGGTAGGAAAACTTATCTACCTATCACATACAAGACCAGATATTAGCTATGCAGTGGGAGTGGTTAGTCAATTCTCTTCACAACCACAAGAACAACACATGGAAGCAATATATACTATCCTTAGATACTTGAAAATGACACCTGGAAGAGGGGTTTTCTTCAAAAAGGGAGAGTCAAAAGACATAATAGTATATACAGATGTAGACCATGGAAGATCTCTTGTTGATAGAAGGTCAACAGGGGGGTACTTTACATTTGTTTGGGGTAATTTGGTAACATGGAGGAGCAAAAAGCAAACTGTGGTTTCTAGAAGCAGTGCAGAAGCTGAGTTAAGGGCACTAGCTAATGGTGTTTGTGAAGGAATATGGATCATACGTGTCCTAAAAGAAATCAGAATCAGTGTTAATATCCCAATTAAGTTATGGTGTGACAGCATGTCAGCACTACAAATGGTTCATAACCCTGTGCACCACGATAGAACAAAGCATGTTGACATTGATCGGCATTTTATAAAGGAGAAGATTGAATCAAAAATCATTGACCTATCTCATATAAATTCTGGGTCACAAGTTGCTGATGTCCTTACAAAGCCACTAGATCGAGGCAAGTTCGAAAAATTTAGAGACAAGCTGGGAATGTTTGATATCTACATTCCAGCTTGAGGGGGAGTGTTGGCTATTCAGTCTCTATTGGGCCTTGGGCCATGCAGATGTGTGCAAATCTGTGTGATTCTTTCTTTTAAATTTCTGTTTATTAGAGAGATCATGATTCCTTTCCTGATATATCTTAGGATTTGATTTAGACTCCTAGAATCTCGGCCTGATCCTAGTATCTTGCCTAATCCCTAAAATCCCGGCCTAATCTCCTCATTCATTGAGGGAATTGTATCTATTTAAGTCTGCCATTCTATTCGAATAAAGTACAACTTCAGAATCATTAGATTCTTCACATACAATACAAGCTGGCTGGTTAAAGTGGAGGAAAGCTACTGGAGTTATTTGCGATAAGAAGGTACCTGAGAAACTTAAAGGAAAATTTTATCAGACTGCGATAAGACCAGCTATGTTATACGGTCGTGAATGTTGGGCAATAAAGGGAAAACAAGAGCACAAAGTCGGGGTAGCAGAAATGAGGATATTGAGAAGGATGTGTGGTCATACAAGAAAAGATAGGATTCGAAATGAAAATATCAGGGCAAGAGTTGGTGTGGTACTTATGCAAGAGAAAATGATTGAAAATCAATTAAGATGGTTTGGATATGTGCAGAGAAGGCCATTGGAGGCCCCGGTGAGGAGGGTGGATCAGACAAGATGGAGTCCCATAAAAAGGGCAGAGGAAGACCGAGAAGAACGTTTAATGAGGTCATTAAATGAGACCTTCTAGTCAACGACATATCTAAGGATTGGGTTGTTGACAGAGCACGATGACGTCGTGTGATTCATATAACCGACCCCACCTAGTGGGAGAAGGCTTGTTGTTGTTGAGTTATAGCTATTTTTAGGTGAGCATTTTATATGCATATGCATGGAGAAATGGTACCCTGAATTGGCTGGTAGTCTGTTTAATGCTTGCTTGCAAAAACCATGGCAGATGTATAAGGACAGCTATCCACTCGTACTTAAGCCATTATGAACTACCAAATTATCTAATTTCATCCACTCTGGATAACTTCTTGTTGAAGACTACATTGGAAGTAAATCTTTTATCTTGGCATAGAATATTCTGTCTTTTGGGAAATAGGTAAAGAGAAGGAAAGGACATAAATCATATTTTGCCTGGCAACTTGGCCCTATTAATCACATTGAAATTTCTTATATATGGCATAAGGTTAGGTAATAATGCTTTTCAAGCACATGAGTATGTTTGAAAAGTAGTTTTTTTTTTTTGTGTATGTTAACTGGATTAGGTCGTATGACATGTAATGAGCTCAAACCTTTGACCCTATGTCTTTTGCTTGTTAGGTTGAATTATCATATTATAACCTGTTTTTGTTTGTTTGTTTGGTTGTTGTTTATACTCTTTTTTTCCCTTTTGGCTTAAGCATTACCGTTTATACTTTAATTTTTTTTTTTAAAAAAATTACTCATTAACCTTCCCTCCCCCCCCCCCAAAAAAAAAAAAAATTCAGGTATCATTCTTATAGGAGAGATAGGAGGGACGGCAGAAGAAGATGCTGCTGCATTAATTAAGGTTTGATTTTATGACATTGGTGCATAAAATTTTGTTCTTTATGCATAACATCAATATGGTGGTTTTCTTGTGTTAAAGGAAAATAAGTCATCTATTATATTTCTGGAGGGAGATGTAGTTGTAATTTTGTTGGGAAAGCTTGTAAACATGGTTTCGTATATGTCATTTTTTTTATTTGGTGAAGACAATTTAAATCTTCTTTATGTTGATGGTTTAATTGATGATATACATGGCTCTACTATTTATTCTATAGTAAAAGAGAAACATAGGTGCTCATATTTATTATTATATTTTAGTTAACTAGTTAATATATCGGCACATGAATTCTTAAATTGATTTTGTTTGTGACAATACAGGAAAGCGGTACTGAAAAGCCTGTTGTTGCATTCATTGCTGGATTAACTGCTCCACCTGGTCGTCGTATGGGTCACGCTGGAGGTAAATCCTCTTGTGAAGTTTTGTTTCTCTTGGCATTTGATAGCAAATATATTTAATGCATGATGTCCGCTATGATAAATAATTAAATTTGTTGAATTTTTCTTTTTTATCTGTAAGAAGAGATTCGGTCTAATTGACTGTCCTTATGATAATCAATACCTTTTGTTGTTCTTAGATGAGGCAACCTTGTTTGCATAACATGCTACTTTTTGTTGCTTTTGCCAACCATTTTTACATTATTTTCATTTAAATCTCCCTTTTACTTTTTGGTTACCTCTGGTTGATGAAGATCAAAATTTGTACCTGGAGTCAGGTAATATCCATCAATTGTCAAACCTGGGTAACATTCTACAATTGTCAATGAATTAGTGATTGAACTTCGCCTGGTATGGTCATATGATTTATAGGAGTTAGGGTCGTGTAGAAAATTGTAAGCTCAAGACTTACCATGGCAAACAGAATTCATGTAGGCAACTTCTATTAGTTTGAAAAATTGACACTGTATTAATATTCTGGGTAGAGCCTAACCACTATCAAGTTGGAAAACTCAGTTTGGCTGAACTGAAAGCTAGATTTATGATAGGGGCTGGGTAGCATGGGATGCTTAAGTCTCATATCAAGTAACATGAGATGCCTTAGTTCTACCATTTGGTATCATTAACGTCTATTGGATGATAGGGACTGGATAGTATATGTTTTAACATCCGAGTAGTGCGATTTGCTTGATTTGGTATTTAAGAAAGAGTATGTCTCCCTCCTTGACTGCACATTCTCAAGGGTAGGTTTTCTATCCTCCTTGGATCCTATCAATTTATTTGTGCAAATGTGTTGGTCTAATATGTGTTTCACACAAGTTGTTTTTCTCTAGGGCTATTAGCAAAATGCCCTTTTTGGGGGAAAAATTAATAAATTCTTGTTCTAGATATATGACTAAGTTTTTTCTGTATGCTTAAGAGTAATAGACGAGTTATCAGTTCAAAGTTAGTTAGTTAGTTCTTCATTATGCTGTATTTAATTAGTTAGTTCTTCATTATGCTGTATTCTGTTTGATAGTAACTGCACTTCAACAATTTGCTTGCCTTTGCTTTTGCAGCTATTGTATCAGGTGGTAAGGGTACTGCACAAGACAAAATCAAGACTCTCAGGGAAGCTGGGGTCACAGTGGTGGAGTCCCCTGCAAAAATTGGAGCTGCCATGCTAGACGTTTTCAAGCAGAGGGGCCTAGCTGAGTAGTTTGAGTTTTGGACATCTGACTTCATTTAGTTTCATCAAAGCCTTTGGTTTTTCTACAAGTTGCAAACACTTGATTCTTGTGGATTATATTGGCTCTTTTCCTTCTTTTTTTTGGCCCTTTTGAGCAAGGAGAGATAAGTTAAAATAAAAGATATTTTAGGACCTCGAGGCTACTAAAAAAATTTTTTTACCACACCCAGTCATCTCCAGTTTCCCTGGTGATGGATTGTACGCCCTTCACACCCTTAGTGATGAATTTTAAATGACTTCAACTTGCTGTTTCTGCAAGGTTGTTTGCTTTGTAATTCTGTGCGTCTGAGTAAGTTATGGCGATCTCTGTCATTGCACTTCTGTTATCAAGCCAATTCATTTATGATGCTTTGAAGGTGCATGTATCATTCACAGGCATGTTTTTCTCTCTAAGCCATGGACTAGTAGAATGACATAACAGTTATATTAATTGGCATGGCTCCCCTGGTAGGCAAACGCTTAAACAGGAGAACCGTTGCCGGCCATAACAGAAGAGTGTAAAACCTAAGGCGGGTAAATGAGAAGCGTTGGGAATCGTGGGTGACTTCTAGCGACTTGAAGAAGTAAGAAAGGCTGGGAGTGGTATGGCACCAGTTTTCATGAACATCAGATGGGTGAATTCTGGGAACAGATCAGTTAAAACCAACAGTGATGGTCCTTCTGTATTATTGAGGAGCTTGAATGTCGGTATTTCTTACACGGATCATGTGGGCAAATTCGCTAAAGGCATAGGAAAGAATGAAACTGGGCTATGTTCGTGGCTAAATGTTTACCACTGAAAGAAGCATTACTATGAGCAACTGTGAAGAGTTCAAGGAGGGGTGACGCATGTATTGAAACAGGTTGTAAGGAATGCCTTTGTTGGGACATTCGTCAAAAACGATTTAAAAGCAAAGCAAGCTTAAATCATGAACTGCACAACACATTCTTCAAACTTCAAATATTTTTATTTTTATTTTGAGAGGCACGGGAGGCAATATCTTGGTGTGTTATGACTATCATTATATTAGAAGTAATATCTTAGTCTGTCAAGACATGAGGAACTAATTCTTTTCACTAAATCTAATTAAATACTCCTCCGGTTCTTAATATAAGATCCAATTATTGAGTTGGTTTTAGTTTTAAATATAAGACTAATTTCTCATATTTATTAATTTTCTCTAAATTATTCCTGTGGATACTCTTTCAACCATAATCAAGTAAAAAAGAAAGAGAGGTATTAGGAAAGATGATTATGATATTTTAAAAAAAAAAACGTGTCATATTTCTTATAATTAATTAACTTACTTAAATTTTTTAGTCTAATCAAATTAGTTAAATGGGTTTTATATTAAGGACCTGAAGAGTAGTTCAATTTTTTTTTTGGGCCAGGCCTAACAATTTGAATACTCATTCTGAGGTCAAATTTTTTTGTGTCCTGAACCCATATACATAGAATCTGGTACAAGAGCCCTTATATATTTGTTTCAGTTCTGGTTTTCCCATAGGCCCAAAAGAGAGCCGGCTGGCCCATTTCAAGGAGTTGTTGCACGTGCTTAGTAAACACTTGGCTCCAAAACCGAAAGCCTCTCGTACCCAAAAAAAAAAACCGAAAGCCTCGGCGTTCTTAAATAAAGATTAAATTTTTGTTTTGTTTTGTTTTGTTTTGTATTATTTTTGTTTTGGCACCATAGTAACTGGGTTGGTAGGATCCTCCTATGCATCTCTGGGCTGCCTTTCGCTTTCTGAAAATTCTTCTCCTATTGCCAATTGTGATATCTGGGAAAGCCGGAATCATCCTCTGTTCCCCCATTTCTAGATCCTTGAACATCCTTTTCCCCAAGTACCAGCACTGTAGCTTCAGATTGGATACCAATCACAATCAACACTGTAGTTTCTGAACCACTCACTCGTCACTTTCCTCGGAGGTTTCTTATGGGAAATTGAAGATGCTGATTCCCTTTAGTTAATTTCGCCCCGATATTGTTGGGAGGGTTGATCCCTTGAATAGAAGTGGGTGTAATCTGGGTAAAACCAGAGCAGTTCGGAGGCAATGCAGGCTTCGGCGACCACCTTACAGTCCAGTCTGTTGAACAATATCTCTTTCAAGAGCTTTAAGCTCAAGACCAAGCAGCAGGAGCTGCTGATTCGGGTTACGATTCTATGCCTCGTCTATGTCTTGGCTTTCATCACTCGCCTTTTCAGTGTTCTGCGTTACGAGTCTATGATCCATGAATTTGATCCGTACTTCAATTACCGGACTACTCTCTTCTTGACACAGAAAGGTTTTTATGAATTCTGGAACTGGTTTGACTCTGAGAGTTGGTATCCACTTGGACGGATCATCGGAGGCACTCTCTACCCTGGTCTCATGGTTACGGCCGCTATTTACTGGGTTTTGCGGTTTTTGAGGTTTGCTGTTCACATCCGAGAGGTCTGTGTGTTGACAGCTCCATTTTTCGCATCGAATACTACATTGGTCGCTTATTTCTTTGGTAAAGAGATTTGGGATTCAGGTGCTGGTCTCGTTGCTGCGGCATTGATTGCCATTTGTCCTGGTTATATTTCAAGGTCCGTGGCTGGATCATATGATAATGAGGGTGTTGCGATTTTCGCCTTGTTGTTAACATTTTACCTGTTCGTGAAGGCTGTGAACACTGGGTCTCTTGCATGGTCTTTGGCTTCGGCTTTTGGTTACTTCTACATGGTATCGGCTTGGGGTGGTTATGTGTTTATAATTAACTTGATCCCACTTTATGTGATGGCTCTTTTGATCACGGGAAGGTATTCGATGAGGCTGTATATCGCCTATAATTGCATGTATGTGCTGGGAATGCTGCTTGCAATGCAGATCCGATTTGTGGGATTTCAGCACGTGCAGTCTGGAGAACATATGGCTGCCATGGGCGTGTTCTTCTTGCTGCAGGTTTCTTCTTGTCATTTGATTCATTTCTCTTTATCACCTCATCGAGTTGCATGTAGTATGGCAAAGAAGCTTGTACCTAGTTGCGTACTTGCCGTATTGCCTAATGATGCTTTTAGTAGTCCTATGAACCTGTATCTACTCTTTGCAATAATGGGATTTTCTTCTTCTTAAGAGTGGGATTTAATTACGTGAAGAAAGCACTTTTCCAGTTGTTTTGCCTAGTTACTCCTTTCACATTGGGTTTTTGTTTGTTTGTCATTCTTTTCCCTCCTAAATTACTTTTTTTTTTTTTTTTGCTAGCGATAAATGAATTCTCTCCTCGAAAAATGATGTGTAAAGGGTGAATCTGGTTATCCCACCAAAAAAAAAAAAAAAAAGAAGAAGAAGAAGCTGGCCAGATTCAGGAACGAATGAATACATCCTTCTAAATTATTTTATTCTTATTTGATTTACCGCTGGTTGACTAGCTTTGATTTCATGCGTAACCTTCCCAGTAATTAGCATCTGTGATCATATCGGTGGTTCAGATTTCCTTGATAAAATTAATTTTCTCTTATTGCTAACTTGCATTATCTTTGCAGGTATTTTACTTTTTGGATTGGGTAAGATATTTGCTTAGTGACACAAAATTGTTTCAAGCTTTCTTGAGGATCACTGTAGCTTGTGCAGTTAGTGTTGGTGCTATTGCTTTGGGAATAGGCACTGCATCTGGTTATATTTCTCCATGGACAGGCAGGTTCTACTCGTTGCTTGATCCAACATATGCTAAGGACCATATTCCAATCATTGCATCAGTCTCTGAGCATCAGCCAACTGCGTGGTCATCTTTCATGTTTGATTTCCATATCTTGCTATTTCTATTCCCTGCTGGGCTCTATTTTTGCTTCAAGAGGTTGTCAGATGCCACAATATTTATAGTTATGTATGGTCTTACTAGCATGTATTTTGCTGGTGTTATGGTCCGATTGATTCTTGTTGCTACGCCTGCAGTATGCGTCATTAGTGCTATTGCAGTGTCAGCCACTGTAAAAAACTTGACTCAGCTGGTGAGGGGCAAAAACAAAACTTTCCAAGGTGGTTCTACCAAAGGAACTAGTGCTACTAAAGGTTCATCCAAGGTGAGATTTTTTAGAGGAACTTGTGTAGAAGGGGTTCTTCTAATGAGTTGCATCATACCTTTTTCAGCTTTTCTAAGCTTCCAGCCCACTAGTGAATCTTTATGGCGTGGTGTTAAATGTTGTGCATGAATTATATACACAATCAGTTGTCTCTAAACTAATATGGTTGCACATTGAATCTTGATGTTATTCAAATGTTACTCAAATGGGTAATACATATGGTAATTTAGTTATTGCCATGTTCTTTCATTGCAATCAGCAGTTCATTTTGACTTCATTAGTTGATCTAATTTCAACTAGAATCTTTGTGGTTGTTATATAGTTAAGGTGGTGTTTCATCTCTCAATTTGAGCAATAAGCCACTTTCCTGCTGTTATTGTGGTGATGCGATTAAATCAAATAGCTTATTATTATTCATCAACAGGGTGTAGTTGATCATTCCCAGCCTTTCCAAAGAAATGGTGCTATTGTGTTACTTCTTGGTGCTTTCTATCTACTCAGTAGATATGCCACTCACTGTACCTGGGTCACATCAGAGGCTTATTCATCTCCATCAATTGTCTTGGCTGCAAGGGGGGCTCGTGGCAATAGGGTCATCTTCGATGATTATCGTGAAGCTTACTTTTGGCTGCGCCAGAATACTCCACCAGATGCTAAGGTGATGTCATGGTGGGATTATGGTTACCAGATTACTGCCATGGGAAATAGAACTGTTATTGTTGACAATAACACATGGAACAATACACACATAGCAACTGTTGGGCGTGCAATGTCTTCTTATGAGGATGAGGCTTATGAGATTATGAGATCGCTCAACGCGGATTATGTGTTAGTTGTCTTCGGTGGTGTTACTGGGTATTCTTCTGATGATATTAACAAGTAAGGCTATCTGATAAATTTTATATTTTGATCTCCAATATATTTTAAATATTACTTTATGCATGTAGCAATTTTGTTTTTGGTATTGAGCATTTTCATCTTTAGTGGTTTATGGTCTGCGCTATCTTTTGTTATCTTCACACTATCCTTAAAATAGAAGATTGTTTTGACCTTCTATAACCATGTTGATGCATTTATTTTGGGCTCTGTGTGTGTGTGTGTGTGTGTGTGTGTTGTGTGTTTTAAAATGTAATGGCAAGACCCTAAGAGAGCGGGGTTATGTTTTCATGGCCCTTCATCAGCAGTTTGCATTTTGGGGTTTGGACAAATATCTTAGGGTTTCACAATGGGTTCCCTTGTTGCACTGATAGATTGGACGTTGTATACACCTACTTGTCACTGATAGTATTTTGTTATCTTCCCTTCTATAATGCTTCTTACATTTTTTACACGGTATTCTTAATTTTGTGTAGATTTCTGTGGATGGTAAGAATTGGTGGTGGAGTTTTTCCTGTAATAAAGGAGCCTGATTACCTTGTTAATGGAGAATATCGGGTAGATAAAGGTGCAGCCCCCAAGATGCTGAACTGTCTCATGTAAGTTTCTTAGACTGCTTGTTGGGCTTGGACTTTTAAATTGTCATTTTAATTCGAGTCATTCTATGTGTACTAGAATTTTGTTTTGATTTTATTAGAATTACCGTGGGTCCATAAATTTTGTAGTTTATTCTTCTAGTATTTGTCAGCACCCGAACCTGGTTATTTATCGTAGCAAATTTAAAATCTGTGTTACATTGTTGGCATTCTTTATTTTTCTAATGACATATAAATTAAATAACACAGATATTAATTAATAATATCATATCAAAACTTGCACATATTATTTTATTAATGTGTCTATCAACATTGAAGCACATATTCGGTAAATATCCGGGTAAAGTAAGTACGCGAGATAATATTGAGCGTAAGCGGCTGTGTTCTGTTAGCTAAGTGAATCAGATGAAATCAAAAGTGTTGGTCTCTTGCCAATGATTAAGATTGATGTAACAGTGTGTCAAACAAATAGCAATCTTCGTTTTCTCCTCTCAAACCCTAAACTGACAGAAAGGGAATGGGAAGACAAGGAAATGAAGGGATAATAATAATTGGGCAAGGCTGGTAAAGCCGGTTGAATTAGATGTCTTTGAAGTCAAGGATTTTCATTTTGCAACAACATACATTCCGGTCGATTTTTAAAGTATGATCTAAACTCGAAAAGGCTGAAGTTGGACTATGCTCTCAGGAATTTTCAAGTTTGCTCAGAATTTCTGCTTCACCTTGGAAAGGCCTTAGTTGGACTTGGAATACATAAACTCCCCTTTGGTCTAGGTCTAAGGCTTGGTATATATGTTTACTTGGCATTTTAATACTTCAGCACCTGGATCAAGGTGTCAAGTTGTTAAAAAAGAGGGGTTTTAAAATGTTGAGGGAAATGTACTTCTACAGATATTTTAATATAATTATATGTACAGAGACATAATTTGATACGTGCTATGTGGTGTGACTTCCTGATACGCAGTGAGTTAATATTATTTTTCATCTTTTTGTTAGGTATAAAGCTCTGTTACTATCGGTTTGGCGAGATGACAACAGAATATGGAAAGCCACCTGGGTAAGTTTTATGCTTTTTAGATTTGACGTTACGATCCTTCGTTGTTTTACTGATATTCAGAGGTCTGAGTGCTCCAAATACAAAGATGAGGTATTCAGATTGCAAAGTCATAATATGAAAGAAAGAGCACAAGAAACAATAGGTTTTCTAACTTGAGGGCCTCCAGGCTTTCCTATCCCCCGACTTTTTCTACCTTTTTCCATCACAAGAAGCCTCTAAAAGCTTCTGCTACCACCGCTCCTCTCACCAAACTCACGCGCTACTTTCACACACTAATTACTCTTGGGCACACCTAGAGGGACAGCTCTTTGTTCTTTTCCCTTGCATTCTCTTTTTGTTTTGTTAGTCCTAGCAATTAGAATAGGGCCCATCATACTATTATTCCACATAAGATTCAGGTATTCTCTAATAGGATCCTCATCTATGCTAGTATTCACATGAACTTTGTTGACACAATAAAACTAGTATCATCAATGGTATTGGTTTGTCCTTCAATGATGTAACTAGTGAATATAGATTCTTCATATTAAAGTGCGTCCTTGGTTCGTAAGTTTGAGTGCTGTTCCTTGTTTACATTTGTGTGAACTGTAAATCATTCAGGATCAATGTTAGAACCAAGTACATGGGATAAGTCATGATGTAAAGTTTTGAGGCCATGTACATCTTTTCCTTGGCTGTTTTTACCTCAGCCTTGAGGTCAGTACTGGAAGTTCTTTCTGATCAACAAAGGTATTTGAACTTGTTGCATAAACTCAGTCATGACTCTACTTTCTGGTGCAATATTGTTTTAATGAGTAACTAAAGGTTAGCGAATAACTTGAGAAAAAGCTGGAATAAAAGTTCAAGAGGTTGTTCATGTCTAAGTAGAGACTGAGGTGCTCATATTGAATATCACATCCTTTCTTCCGCCCCCACACCCCCCGGGGCCGGGGGGGGGGAGGGCCCTCTATCCTTCTGTTTAATTCTTTTAAAACAGGCATACTGAGTACGTTTGTCTGGGCTCTAATCCGGTTGTCCCTAATCTTCTGGAATTAAAACCTCGGTCTTTTATCAAAGGTAGCATGCTTTGTTTATGAATGTGCCAGTGAGCTAGTAACAACTTTTGTCTAGGGACAATTTTCAGCTTGAATTAGTTTTGAAACCAAGAGGGAGTAATTTGTGTTGTTGTGGCTGCTTGAAAATATTATGTTCAACTGATGCAAATTGTGTGTGTGTGTGTACATACTCATTTTGAAATGGCAGGTATGACCGAGCTAGAGGAGTTGAAATTGGAAACAAAGACATCAAACTTGAGTACTTGGAAGAGGCATTCACCACACAGAATTGGATAGTTCGTATTTATAAAGTAAAACCACCTAAAAATAGGTGGTAATTTTAACTCTTGACCCCTCCTCCATAGGAGGGGGGTGCGCGTGTGTGTGAGAGAGAGAGAGAGAGAATTTTTTTTCCTCCTGTGGGAAGTTACCGTATTGTAGTGAAAAAACTCAACAGCTCAAAGACTGCTGGTTTTGTCATAGATTCAATGTAGACTAATTTTTGAAGTGAGCATGCCTAGAATTCAGTTCAGAAATACTTCTGCAAGCACTTCTTTGATATGCCGTCGATTCGTAGTCAAAGGAACTTACACAATGCATTGTTTGGTGGTTCATTATACAATTGGACCTCTTATGTCACATTCCACCCGTTGGATAGGGATCCCAACCAGGCATTTGATCATTTGGGAAGGAAGCAAATTACAAAACATGATGAAGACCGAATGGAACGGTTTTTCTGATAGAAAAATTAAAATTAAACGATTATCTATGCTCATTTATTTTTGCTTCCTTGAGCATATAAAAAAGAAACAAATTGAGGATTAAAAATTTTAAAAACTGTGAGATCTCAAAACCTTCAAGATGAAGGGTTCATTTGTGTTGCTTAACCCTTCAGAAAACAAGTATAATATAATATAAATGCTAAATGCTTTTAAAAAAAGAAAATGGCGACCTTTAATTATCAGTGACAAGGATTTATTGTGCCACCTATGATTCTTTCAATCCTTCTCTATTTATCAATGCATTTCTATAACGTCTTCACGAATTCAATCATGTGATAAATCAAATTCCAAATCTTAAATACATGGATAAAAGACAACTAGATCGCGCAACATGAATACAAGCTGAGTTTTCTTTTTTTGAAAGAAAAAACATAATTAAATGGAACCATTAAATAAAAATAATAACTAAAAGCTGAACCGTCCTCCAAATGTTGTATTGAAAGCTGAAAACACCTCTACTGAAAAAGCCAAAAAGAAAAGAAAAGAAAGAAATCTGAGAACACCAGCAACCAGGGGATTCATTCCCATTAGGAATTGTTTTCTTTTACAAAAGGCTCGTGCCCAAGTGAATAACGCGTCATATATGCGCGCGCGCGTGTGTAATACTGTTTATATTAAAATTTTATGCATTCACTGTATATGCAGCAGTAAACAAGATAGTTTCAAAAGGCTGAATGAAATTAATGCTTAGTGCCATTTGATAGTTACATGTCAATAACATTCCCATGTGTAAACGTCTGCATATTAATGGAAGATAAAAAGCTTCAAATAAAGATCACCCGACCAATAAATAATCATTTGGCAGTATTAGTGGTGGGTAAGGCAAGTAGTACAATAGCAATGAAACTACCATGACACATGTTAGGTGACAAATCAAATCCAATGTTACTGAAATCCGCCAAACACCCTGGAAACTTCTAATCTACTATTTGAGTTTATTTAAGAGATAAGCAGGTATGCAACAAAAGATAACAAACTGCAACTGTTTAAAATCAAACATTTCTTTCGTTGTATTTTTTTTTCCCATATCATCTATCACTATCTTTATTTGAATACATTATATACATCCATTTTCATAAATATGAAAAAGAAATCAAATTTGCTCATTATCAAATTAAAACTGATGATTCTCCATTTTCTATTCTAGGTTTTGTGGGGAAAAAAGAGAAGTGCATAAGAATACAATAGTATAAAGTAAAATCAAATCCCGTTCCAGGTAACGCAATGCTTCAATTAAAAGAGCACGCATCTCAGGAAATTACCAAAATGGGCACCTATATAGGGCACTGCCTTATAAGGCAGAATGGCAGATGAACTCCCCCGCTTTAAAATAGATTGCAATCTGAATAGTGAAATACATAGACCAGATTCCCTAGTAGCAATCATAAAAGAAAAAATGGAAACCGAGGCCACATGGTTGCCAAATTATATAAGGGTCTCAACAATAAATCATGATAGAGACATATTCGGATAAGAATGAATGATGAACTGGACAAAATTTAACTTGATTCATCTATTTAAAAATTCATTTTCCACTTTGATATCTAACTGAACTACGAAAAGGAAGGACTGCAGTCATATTATTGGTACACTTGCCAGAAACTAGTTGCAGCCCTTTATCACGGAAGTGTTTCCCCAGCTGCACCTCCGCCACCATCCTTTTCCTTTCCAGGGAGAACATCCATCTCTTGTTATTCTATGCCTGAAATAAATATCCTAAACCAGTATTTTGATTTCCTTTTCTTTCCACAAGTTTGCTCAACCGAAAGAAATGCACATCTTGGTTTTTCTTTTTCTTTTCTTTTCTTTTTTTCTTTGTTCGGCCTCATGTTCATATAGTGTCAAAAAATAAGTTGGCTCAAAGAATGGGAATGAATTACCCTAATCAAGGGCAGTTTTGCTCCTACGACCGGTTATTGGGATAGGTAAGCCCAAATATAGGGGTTTGGCGATAGCAGCAGTTGAAAGAGCTTGCAAGTCTGGTTTCAAACTCCATCCAGTTGGCAGACTGTTGCTGAGCTATTCTTCTCCTGCTCTTGAGGCTGATGTACTTGAAGATTTATGCACAGTAGAAAGTCCATCAATCATTATAGATTCTCCGAGGCCTACAGGAATTGAATCCAAAGGTCCTGACTCAGAATCAGAATGTAGCAGAGTTCTGCTAGCTGATTTTGGCCTCATGGCCAAACCTTTCCCTGTTGAAGGAGAGAAACCACTGGCCCCACCAGTGTTTTCTTCTTTCAATAGCTTTTCTGGGGTACCAGCTCCACTATCAACTTCAGTTTCTGTCGTTCTGTCGACTGCGGACAGATTTCTCTTCTGACTTCAGTCACCTCCTCCATTCCAAGTTTCTACAAGAGGCACATACTCAGGTACTGCACTGTTCCCTGTTAGTAAATCGGGTGG